TGTAGCTCCAGTTGTCACCCATAACTTGGAGGATATAGGAATTACTATAATGAATCGGCCAGCACGTTCTCCTGACACGAATCTTACAGAGCAATTATGGGATATGATAAATGATAAAAAATAGAAATCGTTGCTGAAGAATGGGATTCTATTTCACAAGACGAAATCGGATCGCTTATTTGTTCTATACCCTTAAGCCCTCCGCGAGGTCAGAGGATGATATAAGGAACTATTAAATAATAAATTATAATAAAATCAAATAAAAAATAAAGTAAATATAAAGTAAAACCATATAATAAATGGTTAGTTAAATTTTAATCTATCACTAGATGGTTTTCCGATGTTTTAGTGAATTTTCTTTCAAACCATTTTTTAAACAATGGATTCCAGGAACTGGAGGAGTTCCCTCCTGAGCACTGCAGCTGTTCAGCTTATTGTAATTTATCCCTGGCTCCATTTTTGGGGGCTCACAACATGAGTGTGAATTTGAGCCCCCGGTGTGTTGGTGTTCTTCCATCGAAGAAACTCATGTTTGAAGTGAGTTGGGACCAAAATTCAGGGTCGCTGAGATCTGATCCCGCTACTTCCATTGATGAGTGCAGTGTCAATTTATTTCAATTGCGGCCACCGGTCCCCTTAGGCGTCAGAAAAAATCCAGAGGCGACGGTGGGGATCGAACCCACGACCGCGGGATCTACTAGCCGAGAGTCTGACGCCTTAACCACTCGGCTACCGCCCCCTCTTTCAAACCAGTAAAATTAAATAGTTTTTATTAAATTTATTAAAATCGTGAATTTCTGATCTCGTTTAATTTGTTTTATATTAAAATAAGTTTGTTGTAATAAACATAACGGTAAAAGTACACATAAACAATACATACTTGTGATCTATCCTGCTAGAAAAAAGACGACGATGAAATTTATCGTGAAGTCCTGAAGAGTCGGTACGAAAAAATAACGTGAGGTGGTGGTGGTAGGCTTACAATTAAAAACCCTAAATGTTGGGTTTTACAAAAAACAAAATTACCTAATAAACCTATTTTATTCGGGCCTTAAAAGCTGCTACCTTACTGCTGGCTTTAGTTGCCTCCTTTGCTACCGTTCTTTCTTCTTTTTATTCTGGTGTCAGTCTGTTCTTCAGCTAAGAATTCGAAGGAATCCATTACAGTTCGTGGTCCGATTGACCAATTAACATTTTTCAATTAATTCGATCCGTTCGGACACTAACTTCCCATCTCAACCTCACCTCTAGAATTTTCTCTCCTTTTTGCCATTTTTCACGAAATCACGATAGTTCAAGTGGCGTATTTAGCCGTATTTAAGCAGCGGCGTATTTAGCCGAAGATCGTGGGTTCGAATCCCGCTCGTGACACTGACTTTTTTTACCAAATTTTATTTTTATTGGTCAATCGGACCAAGAACTGAAATGGATTTAATAATTAAACCGAAGTATATCTTCACGAAAGCTCTCCAATTCATTTGTCGACGAGAATCAAATAGATTACACGGCATTTGAAAAATGGCAAAAAGGAGGGAAAATTCGAGAGGTTAGGCTACGTGCTAGCACACCGTCAAAAAAGGTTAAACATAATACAATTAATTAAGGTTTTTGGTTGAGATAAAAAAGTCAATGGCTCGAGCGGGAAAATGGCAAAAAGGAGGGAAAATTCAAAAGGTGGGTTGAGATGGGAAGTTGGTGTCCGAGCGGATCGAAGTCACGATAGCTCAAGTGGTAGAGCAGCAGCGTATTTAGCCGAAGATCATGGGTTCGAATCCCGCGTTCGAATCCCGCTCGTGACACTGACTTTTTTATCAAATTTTATTTTTATTTTTATTGGTCAATCGGACCAAGAACTGAAATGGATTTAATAATTAAACCGAAGTATATCTTCACGAAAGCTCTTATAAAGTATATCTTCATTTGTCGAAGATCGTGGGTTCGAATCCCGCTCGTGACACTGACTTTTTTTATCTCGACCAATACCTTTCATAAATATTCGAAGGAATGTTTGAATTGAACCCTTTAGAATACATAATAGGGGTATTGAATCAGACAGAAAAATGAATAAAGTTGTTCGATAAGAAGGAAAACAAAGTAAGTTGACTTCTTGTTTAAATAACTATAAAATGATAATAATAAAAAATAAAGTATTAAATTATCGCTGTGTAATCTGCCAGCGCATACAGTTTTCAAATATTTCGTTTTGTGGTTTCTTCATTCTTCACCGCCCAAAAGTGCATTGCCACATTTCAACGCGAATTTACAACTGCATTCAAGCGAATTTTGCAACAGTTTTGAAATATTGTGAGATTTCTTTTGCACAAAACAGCAAAGATAGGCAGACCAAAATAATAAAATTAAAATGCAGAAAAACGAAAAGAAAAACAGTCCGCTTTTTATAAACCGTAGAAAGTAATAATATAGTAAATGAACAAGCCGTTATAAAAATCGCGACCACTTGGCTACATATTTCTCCCCATTTTGGATAGTGGGAGTACTTAATTAACGGNGTGAGAGAGAGAGAGAGAGAGAGAGAGAGAGAGAGAGAGAGAGAGTGAGAGAGTGCGGGATGATAAAGAAAAGCGAGAAAGAGAGAATTAATGAAGTAAGAGGAGAATGAAAGTGAAAGATTGTGACAAATTAACTCAATGAGCACACACTCACACATGTTGTGCGGCAATTTTTAGAATAAGTCAGAATTAGCCATTAGAATTCGGCCGGGATATTGCTTCATCGGTGGCAACTTTGTCCAAACGGGTGATAATGCTCGTTTGTGTCCAAGGCCTTTATTGGGAAATTGGGGCAGGCTTGGACTTAGCACCTATCGGTCGCGTTTTAATAATTTAGGAAAAGAAGGTGTGAAAAGTTCGGATAACTGGTTTGTCAAGGCGGTTGATTAAATTTGAACAAAACGATAGTTTCTGTCGTCTATTTCTACATTTACGATTATCTCTTTTTTTCTCCCATTTTCAATCCGGTGTCTGAACCGTTGCGTGAAACTGAAACCACTCTGGCCAGATTAAACAATTTTTCAATTAACACTTACGCAAAAATAGAATGTTTTATTTCTTTTTTGTATTTCATTTCAATGTATGATCTAACTAGCAAGTAGCTTCACAAAGGAAGAGAAGTCTGTTTTACTAATTGTTTAAATATTTTTATTAATACATTTATTTATTAAAATTGGTTAAATGATACCATATATTAATTTTACAATGACTATTTTAGTAATAAACAAATAATAAATACATATAGATTGTAATATGTGATTATAAGTCTTATTTTATTTTGTCCATTCGAGTTCGAGGTCCGATCCACCAAATAACTACTTTCAATTAATTTATCTTTATGTAAGGTATTGGTTGAGATGTACCTTATGTACCTTTTGAATTTTTGAAAAATGGCAAAAAGGAGGGAAAATTCGAGAGGTGAGGTTAAGATGGGAAGTTTGGGTCCGAGTGGATCGAGGTCACGATAGCTCAAGTGGTAGAGCAGCGGCGTATTTAGCCGAAGGTCGTGGGTTCGAATCCCGCTCGTGACACTGGCTTTTTATCTCAACCAATACCTTACATAAAGATTAATTAATTGAAAGATTTTATTTTGTATTGACGTTATTTGAAATCAGGTTTTTTTCTTTTCTTTTTGATATGTGTATTCCAATTTAATTTTTGCTTATTGTGATGATTAAATATTTCCCTGATTTTTCTGGGAAGGGACCACTTTGCCACCGAAGTTTGAGTACTAACTTTCTATTTATGAATTTATATGTATGGGTTTCAGGTCATTTATTTTGACCAACCTGATAGATACTGCTGAATGCCATTGGCAGTCGGATCGTGGATCTATGGATACATTTTTCGACTGTGAGGGAAGCGTAAGTTGCCACAGTTATTTTTCATCAGAGGTAGGTTAGTTGTACACTCGGCCTAGGATGCTACCGTGTGGTACCCCAGCCTTTATTTCAAACAACTCAGAGTATTCGTCTTGTGGTTAAACTTGGAACAATCTTTCCAAAAAATAGGAGGGCAAAAGTTATATAATATCAGTGATTCTATGTATCTGTGTAGGTTGAGTACTTGGCTCTGAATCCAAACTGGTGATTTGATATAATGTCTATTTTTTCAGGTTCTATTTAGCAAAACTTTTTTGAAAGCATTGAGATATAGGCGTAGGATGATACTTCCTGTTATTTAGTAAAGAAGCATTAAACAAATATGACACGAAGTTGGTATATCTTGATTAGACATTCAATGTATCGCGTGTAAGATTAAAATAATATATGGGTTATAAAATCCGTTTAATCTGAAATGGTTTTGTAACGAATCGAAAATGCATTGCAGCCGAGCAAGCGAACAGACTTTATTTCCATATAAAATTTTTTTGAACAGATTTTTTAAAGACATATTAACATTTTTTATAATATGCTGATACAGTATAAAACAATTCGGATCTGCAACTCCACCCGATCCTTGAACTAATTACCAAAAACAGAACTGATAATTTGATTCACGAAGCACCTACGCGACCACCCGGTAAGGCATAATTAATTTTGCTAATGTTCGCCTTCTGGATTTTCATCTGAACGACAAAAACTAGATTGATTAGATACATATCTTTTATAAATACGATTCATGGCTCAAGAAGTAAAAGGAATCTTGAAAAGTAGGTACATCAGAATGGAAGAGGTACGAAGTTGTACTTTCAATATCAATTGTTAATACAAGGCAAGGCTACGAATTGTGAAAAAAACACGAAAAACTTCAATTCAAATCAATCAATCGGGCGAGCAAATTCTAGCTCTATTGAAATAGAATAATAATAATTTTATGACTGAAGAATGTAGCAAAGTAGGCTAAAGTATTTTTTGTTCAAAAAATATAGAATAAATTTTTTTGGTAAAGGGCAAAAATGATAATATTTCTGCTCCAGTAACCTCACAAGGCGATAGTTCTAATTGCAATTATTTATAATACTGTCCTTTGTACCATCCACTTCCCTACCTTATAATAATTCTTTTCCCCATGATCCACAAATGACCTCTGCCCCTTCCACCATTGTCTCCATACTTCAATCCCATTGAGCACATGTGGGATGCGTTGGACAGAAGGCTTTTCGATCACCAACCCGCAGACTGTTGACCTGTAACAACTGAATGCAGAGTTGCAATATCTATGGAGTGAAATTCCTTATGGAATTAGTGACAACCATATTAACAATGTGTGGTGATTAGTGACCGTTAATCGATATTTATTTAGAAATCGTGAGATGCGGTCTGGTGTGATGTAGCTTTCAGAAAAACATTTTCTTTATCGTGCCAACGTTTCCAGAGTGCCCTACGACACGCAAGAATGGCACAATTACACAGAAAACAAACACTTTGAGCCCTGAAGATGATCTGAATAAAGATTGAAACGTTGGCACGATAAAGAAAATGTTTTCCTGAAACCTACATCACACCAGACCGCATCTCACGATTTCTAAATACATATTAACAATATTCCTAACAGGTGAAAAGCGATTTGATGTTTGTTGATCGACCTGCATATAATCTATGTGGAGTTTCAATCTTCATGGAGGTCATTAGACAGGTGAAGAAAGGAAAAGACTAATCGTTGGTTCACCAAGCTTTCGGCAACTTATATTGCCATCATCAGGGCTTTCCCAAGAGTGCAGAAAACGGTTACCATAAAAAACTATTGTAACAGCGTTTCGGGTTTAAGGTTAGGAAGCACATGGCCAGCATATTACATTTTACATGGTGAAAATAGACATCTCGCTAATAAAAAATCCATATGACTAAAGATCCAACAATTTTGTTCTGACTAGCAATTTCTTACAGCTAACATTTATGATCTTGATACTTGACTAGAATTAAAGCTATTTATAAAGATTATATTAACTACACAGGATTAACATTAATGAGAGAGAGAGAGAGAGAGAGAGCGACAAACACTGTCATAATATAATGCTATAATTCTAGTCAAAATACTCTGTGATCATAGATGTTACCTACAAGAAATTGCTAGACAGAACAAAATTGTTGAACCACAATCTTATGGATTTTTATTAGCGAGATGACTGGTTTTCACTATGTTTAATGTAATTTGCTGGCCATGTGTTTCATAACCTTAAACTCAGGACGTTTTTACAATAGTTTTACCATGTTAATCGTTTTCTGCACTCTTGGGAAAGCCCTGATGATGGCAATATAAGTTGCCGAAAACTTGGTGAACCCAACGATTATTCTTTTCCTTTCTTCACCTGTCTAATGACCTCCATGAAGATTGAAACTCCACATAGGTGAACAGAGGTTTTAGCTAAAGGACGACATTATACACGGTATTAACTGTTTAAAAAATTATTGTATAATTATAACTGTTTACAATTATTGTACAATTAATATACAACAAACAAAATTATGAAATTGAAACCTTTTAATAAATCATAATAATTTCTTGCAATTTATAATAAAAATAAAATAAAAATACTAGGAAAAGTAAATACTACAAAATTGGCAATATCCCTATTCATCTTTGAGCAGTTTATAATAACCTTGATATATGCGCAATAAAGGCAGAAAACCATATTTTTAATAAATTATGTAAATTACTTAAAATATATTTTTTTTCTCGGTTCCCAAGGCTCATTGGAAAAAGAGTCGACACGAGTCATATATTTTCCGAACTAGTATCGCTAAAATTTTTGAAATTAAAATCAGTGACTCCATGTNTCTCGACTAATACCTTTCATAAATATTCGAAGGAATGTTTGAATTGAACCCTTTAGAATATATAATAGGGGTATTGAATCAGACAGAAAAATGAAGAAAGTTGTTCGATAAGAAGGAAAACAAAGTAAGTTGACTTCTTGTTTAAATAACTATAAAATGATAATAATAAAAAATAAAGTATTAAATTATCGCTGTGTAATCTGCCAGAGGATACAGTTTTCAAATATTTCGTTTTGTGGTTTCTTCATTCTTCACCGCCCAAAAGTGCATTGCCACATTTCAACGCGAATTTACAACTGCATTCAAGCGAATTTTGCAACAGTTTTGAAATATTGTGAGATTTCTTTTGCACAAACCAGCAAAGATAGGCAGACCAAAATAATAAAATTAAAATGCAGAAAAACGAAAAGAAAAACAGTCCGCTTTTTATAAACCGTAGAAAGTAATAAAATAGTAAATGAACAAGCCGTTATAAAAATCGCGACCACTTGGCTACATATTTCTCCCCATTTTGGATAGTGGGAGTACTTAATTAACGGGAGAAGGTATGACGGCGCCGTTTCTGATGTCCTACAACTATATTACCGAGGCATTGAACTTGCATGCCGAGATGCAAGCCGTTTTCCTTGACTCTATATGGTTCTATATTTATCTTCAGGGGCGAGGTTTGAACGGTTTAAAATCACTGCTGTAAGTTATCTGAAAGCTTTATCCTTTTACACGAAGCAGTTGAACAAATTCAAAGCTACTATGTTAACGTATTTTTACACGATAATCTACTTCATTATTAGTACGCTTTTTTAATTTTTAGGACATTACAAAAGAAGTAACGTGGCTCATTTTGTTTTTGAGTAGAGAGTGAATGGAGGAATGAGTGAAACTCGAGAGTGTGAGAAGAGAAGAGAGGAGAGAGAGATTTTTTCATATACAGAGGATAAATCATCCTCGATAAATTGGCATAAATAATTCATTCAATAAGAATTACCACATGTTAAGACAAGTTAAGATAAAATCATAAAAAAAAGAATTGATGAAAACAATGACAACAGAAAAAACTCACTAAAGCACTATTTTATAAACAGGCAGACAGAGGCAAAGAGAGGCAATGAAAGAGAAATGCAGAGAGAGAGAGAGAGAGAGAGAGAGAGAACATTTTGAAAATCGCTATCTACATAGCAAACAACAAATTATAAATCTTTAGGAATGTGCAGTATGATTTTTTTTTTCAAATACAGAGGATAAACCATCCTCGATAAATTGGCATAAATAATTTATTCAATAAGAATTACCACATAATAAGACATGTTAAGATGAAATCATAAGAAAAATAATTGATGAAAACAGTGACAACAGAAAAAACTCACTAAAGCACTATTTTACAGACAGGCAGACAGAGGCAAAGAGAGACAATGAAAAAGAAATGCAGAGAGAGAGAGAGAGAGAGAAGTAATTAGCGAGCCAAAAATGGAAAACGAAAAAGATTTTATATTCCCCTATATCCAGATCCTGAACCGCTTTCGGCAGCTGTTCGAACTTGCACACTCTCCGAATATTATCCCTGATTTGCATATTCGCATGCCCTGCAAGCGTGAAATATACGCCTGTATAAGTGAAACTCCTCTGAGTATTATATAACGATACTTATTATTTGAAGAAAATGTGGTTCGAAGGTCGGGTTACGAGCTTCCTAGTTCGGCTTATAACAGATATGCTTATAGTAATTTGCCGATTGACCACGTTCTTCCCGTCTCCCTATATTCCTTGGAAGTGGTTGGTACTTTTACATAACGAAATATTGATAGAATTATATTCTTGATTTTATTTGGTTCAGAGTGAAAAACGTGGAAAACTTATAAGATTTTTAATTAAATCAGTTACTTTTAATATTAACCTAATAAGATCAGAAAGTTTAAGATGCCTCAACTTCTTTTTATATGGATAAGAATTGGTAAGAATGGTTTCTCGTTACTAATCAATTCAATTCAACCCAAAAACGCGTTTTATATTTACATTTTCAACAATGTTTTTGTCTTATATACCTCAATGGTAGCATACGATCCAATGTCCATACCTGTCCATATAGCCATCCAATATCACGTTACAATACTCCAATGTACTGTTCTTTTCATTTACCTACCTTACCAGTAAGAAATTAAATGTATATACTAACTAGAAGGACGTCCGACCCTAGTCATATTTTTCTTAGTTAACACAATCTTGAGCAAGTCTTGTTCACTTAAATTACAAATATTACAAAACGGTCAAAACTAACCTTGCACCGCCCCATCCTGTCTCTGCTAAGATATTCTCTGCCTTTAGAATTGAAGTCTGATACCTTATAGAATATAGAGCTTTTCTTTTTCAATGTATCTTTTCATACCATTATTTTTGCAATGTATACCTAAGGCTGGGTCCCATGTTATACAGGACAGATGATAGACTAGTCAGAGTCGAGTCCTCAGTACCACTAGTAGTACAAGCACTCTTCTGTAAAATTCGACACTACAAAACAGTATAAAACAGCAATTACCGAATAGATCATGTAATATAACGGTCATAGAATTCAGCAAAATATTTTATGATTATTCAGAAATCGTGAGATACGGTCTGGTGTGATGTAGGTTTCAGAAAAACATTTTCTTTATCGTGGCAACGTTTCGATCTTTATTGAGATCATCTTCAGGGCCTAGGATTTACAAACATTGTTTAAATTTAACAAATACATGTAGGATGGGGAAAAAAGTGAATTTATACAATGCAAAAAATATTCTTTTAATATTCAATCAAAGTATTTCTATTCATTCAAAGTGTTTGTTTTCTGCGTTTATAAATACCAGGCCCTGAAAATGATCTCAATGAAGATCGAAACGTTGGCACGATAAAGAAATTGTTGTTTTGAAACCTACATTGCACCAGACCGCATCTCACGATTTCTGAACAATCATCGACTAACGGTCACTAATCACCACACAAAATTATTTTATTAAAGAAAGTCTTGTCAGTACTTGCTTCAGACTTGTATGTTCAAAGCGGAAAAAAATTGAGGATCATTACAGGTTCAAGTTATTACTTTCAGACCGTTTCAAGTCGTTGTGTTCTTTCGCACCTCCTGCTTTGCAAGTTCCGTTGTAAATATTCAATTAGTCTTAAACTCAATTAGCTCCTGGGCCGCTGAATATGGGTTTAACCCGAATGTAGAAACGTCGTTGAACTGCCTTTTTTCCATTAACAATCACCCTATTTTTCTCTGACCCATCGTCAAGAACCTTGAGTTTGTTTTTGATCATACCTTGCACTGGTAGCCTCGTATGTTCCAGAATTCCACCCT